CCCCCCCCCCCCCACTCTAAACACCGGCCCCCCCTTAGGCATAAATAACGAACAGTCCCTAAACGAGGATATTTCCTAGGAGTAGTGGCGGAAAAAAGCAAAGAGGAAAAAATCCCTTTTCCCTCTCCCCTCGTTTGTTTCTCCCTGACCTTCTTTAATTTTAATTTATAATTGACATCCTTGATATAAAACAGCAGGGACAAACACATGTGCCTGATTTCGAAATTCCAGTTGCAAGGGCTCAGTGATTCACGCTCAGCAGACGACAGCAGGAGATGGGAGATTTCACAACCAAGACTGAGCAAAGACTGTCGTACGTAGAGACACTCTAGGTCCTCTAAAGCGTAATATTACGTACAAATGGTAAATATTTTTCTAAAACTTTCTTTTGAGGTGGACAATATTGCCCTTTGTCGATCAACTAATTTAGTGCATTCAGAATCAAAACGCGCTGCCAAATTCCGAAGGGATAGAGCATTCAGTGCTTGTTCAACGGCTGGAGACTGGGTTCCAGTATTGCCAAATGTTCACGTGAAACTCACGTGGTGTTCGACAAAGTAAATTTTTGGCGCGTTCTGCGACTGTGCATCATTTTTAGACCACGTACTCCATTTCACCGGGATTTTTCGATCAAGTTGAACTTCTGCCTTTGGATCTTTGAGGTGAGACCTGCTTTTTCAATGTAAAACATTATATTTTGTTGATAACGCGGTAAATTTCGTTTGTAACTTGAGTGGATGTCGGGGTGCTTTAATCGATAACTTCAGATCGACGATGCAAGCTTAAAAATTTCTTGAACTTTTGCTCATCTGACGGTTTTTTTTTTCTCTTATCACCGATATACAATTAGGAGACATGGCTGTAAATGGTATTGGACATGATTTTGCTGCTCTACATGAGTCCTTAGAAGAGAGCGATCCCGATCTTTACGAAATATTGAAAAAGGAGAAGAAACGACAAGTTTGCGGGCTCGAGCTGATCGCTTCGGAAAATTTTACTAGCAGGGCTGTTATGGAAGCTCTTGGGTCTTCTATGACAAATAAATACTCTGAGGGACAAGTTGGGCAGAGATATTACGGAGGAAATCAGTTCGTGGATGAAATGGAAAGCTTATGCAAACGCCGAGCGCTCGAAGCTTTTCGGTGAGTATAAACACGTGTAAATTTGATCACGTTGTTGAGTGATTATATATTCTTTTTTGGCTTCGATGAGAAATGTTACTGATATAAGCTTATCTGCGATCGTTGTACAGAGTTACTGCTCCAACAGAAAAAAAATTCAGAAAAGCTTAACTGAATTATTGAGAAATAGGGTACCAGAAATAGTGGTGTGACGAAAATCACTCTATCGTGATTGTGTTATGCAATGCACACGCTGTCTTTGCTGGGTGGGTGGGAGAGAGGATGGGCCACATCATCCTGCTTGTGGAGACTTTATATTCCTGGTGTGACCAATCGATTAAAATTAATCATTATAAAATTATAATATTTCATTGATTAATATCAACAGGTGAAAGTAAATGTAGAAAATCGATACTTACAATTTCAATTCCACCAAAGTGCTAGCAGTGTCTATTGGTTGTTGTCAGTTTTAAGGGGTGTCATTTAGGTGCCAGTGCAATGTTACCCGTCCATAATCAATCATTCTTGGAAATCCTGGAGGGACGCAATTATTGGTCATGGAAAATATTAAAGGATTATCGTAGAAAAATTAAAAAATTGTTGGTGGCAAACAGAAATATTAATACTTGTCATCATCAGGCAGCTATAATCCACTATCGGCTCATTGCTGATATATTTTGTACATTTTTGTCGTGTTCTAAAAAACACCAAACCACAACCTTGCTAATGTCTCATTTATGGTTTGTTTTACCGGTATTCACATTTTATTGTTTGTATTATGAGAAAATTGTATTTTATTAATGTTGCAAATCAGTGCAAAAAGTAAAAAGCTTTTGTGCTTTCAGTACACTTCCCATAGAAACTGTAACACTATGCAGTTGATTTGAAAGTTAGTCATTTGTAATGACGGCAAGTGAGAAAAACGATATTATTGTGAATGTCAGATTCTAAATACTCTTTGATTCAGTTTGTTCAGTTAATAAAAATGCTCTAGTTGTTGCATATGGTTATATTAGTTTATAAGTCTCTATTCAAAGGAAATTGGGCGAAAGGGGTAAATAATATTCTTTATCCTTTATAGCATGCCAAGAAAGTAGTGTCTGATAGCCCGGGGCTAGTGGATTTTGCTATCGGGCTAGCGAATTCTGTTTGTAACAGTGATGTTTTTTGAGGAATTTGAATAACAGAAGAACTGTGAAATCAATTCTGCCCGTCAAAAAGTTTTTGGGGCTAGTTGAAATGACATCTGGGCTAGTAAATGCTATCTTCAACTTAACCGAATGGCAAGCTGTAAAAATGATTTTCTTTGCACTCTGCCTTTATCACCAATCATATTCTTCACACTGCTTGCAATACATTACCTGAGTTGAAATCAAATAAGTAAATAAATAAATGTCTTTATTCTGTACCTGTGCCTATGTACACATGTTTTAGGAAGATCATAGTAATTTATAATCCAATTTTTGGATTATGCTCTCTATTTGATTGTGAAGTCATTTGCACAGTTGACATGACCTTTGAAGTATCCTGCTACTTTGACCTGCTCTAGACCTGATTTTGGAAATTTCTAGTTTTATTTTATTTTTTGATCTAACTAGATTTTTATATCTTTTCTATGTATTTCACGGATTAAGTCAGTCCAGAGGTTACTCTAGCAGTAAACAATATTTTTTCTTTATCTTTCATAATATTAAATGTTAAAGTTTACACTGTAAAGCAATGTACAATGAAAAAGTGCACCCATGAAACTGTCACTTATAAAAAGTTGTAAATTTGCATAAATTCAAAACAACTTTGTTTCCTGTCAATTGCAATGGTCACTGAACCTTTTCTTTAATAATTAAACCTTTGCTCGTTGCCACCAAGCAAACTCTCGTGGTCCTAGGAAAATCAGTTGATATCTTACATGCAAGGAGACTTGGGTCAGAAAAACGTGTTCTAATAGAACATGCACATTAGAAATCACCCTTCAAGAAAATGTGACAACCAGGAATAATATTTTTTCCGACATTTGGTCTTTCCTTTTACGCAACTTGTTAAACATTTCCTTACATACTGCACATAGCTAATATAGTAACCAAAGGTAAGGGACTGAGTAGATTCTGCTTTGTGTAAGTCCAAATGTAGTTCAGATAATGTTTTTTTGAATTTCACTTTAGTATTTGTAGAAACGTTCTGTGCATATGTAATAACAACTTGGAGATTAGAATTGCAGGCTTAGATACTTTTTCCACAAATAAAATGGCAAGTACAGAACAGACATAAAAAAAACTTTAATCATGTGCTCTCTCTAGAGAACTATTTTTAAATTCTATAATGCACATGGATATTTTTTTTTGTGAAGAGGTTTCACTTGAATGGTCACAACATGGAATTTCATGCAGACTCAAAAATTAGAAACATCTTACACCCATGATTCACTTAGCAGGTAAAATGTTGAATATGACCAGCCATTAATACGAGCAGATTAAATGGCACAATAGTGTTCCTATTAACAGTGTTTTGCTTTAAGTATTTATTAGAGCATATTCACCAATCAATGAAATATTGTATGTTTGAATTAACAACTTCTGTTTTTATTGTAGACTTGATCCAGAAAAGTGGGGTGTGAATGTGCAACCTTACTCTGGTTCCCCTGCAAACTTTGCAGTCTACACTGGGCTTCTTTCTCCACATGATCGCATTATGGGTCTTGATCTGCCAGATGGAGGCCATTTGACGCATGGGTTCATGACAGAGAAAAAGCGCATCTCGGCAACATCTATTTTCTTCGAATCAATGCCTTACAAGACAAACCCGGAAACTGGCTTAATAGACTACGACAAGCTTGCTGAAACTGCCAGATTGTTCCGCCCCAAACTTATTATCGCAGGAATCAGTGCTTATCCACGTCATTTGGATTATGCCAAATTCAGGGCTATAAGCGATGAAGTTGGGGCAATTCTCATGGCTGATATGGCGCATATCAGTGGTCTAGTGGCAGGCAATGTCGTGCCAACCCCATTTGAGCATTGCGATATTGTAACAACAACAACACACAAGTCTCTTCGTGGGCCACGTTCAGGGGTTATATTCTATCGCAAGGGTATCAAGGGTTACAAGAAGAATGGAGATCCCATCAAATATGACTATGGAAACAAAATTGACTTTGCACTCTTCCCTGGTCTTCAAGGTGGCCCCCACAATAACACCATCGCTGCACTATGTACAGCTTTGAAGCAAGCCAATACTCCAGAATTCAAAGCATATGCCCAGCAGATACTGGATAACTGTAAAGCCATGGCCAAGGTGTTTTTGGAGCGTGGCTACAAGCTGGTGTCAGAAGGGTCAGATAATCACCTGGTTTTAATGGACCTGCGTCCTCTGGGATTTGGTGGAGCCCTGGGAGAAAAGGTCTTGGAAGAAGTTTCTATCACTGGTAAGTCTTTTTTGCATCCTATTTTGTAAACTGCCGCTTATAAGCCCCTCCACTTTTAAGCCTGCCCAGTTATGGGCTAGTCTTCTTATAAGAAAAAAAACACATCTGATTATAAGTCTGCCTGGATATAAGCACCTCTGTTTTTAAGCGCTTCTAAAATCCCTTATGAAGAGGTATAAGCCCAGGGCTTATACAAATGTATAAATGGCAGTTTAAAGTATTTATAGCATTTGGTAGTATTAAAGTTAAAGTGTCCATAACGAAAAAACCTTTTATTATGTAAATTGAAAGAACGTACAAGAACTTGTGCAAAAAAATTGTGTGTTTTGAGCAAAATGAGATTTTTTTAGAAATTTTTGAGATGTAGTTTCTTTGGCACACCTGTTCCGTTGATAGTGGGATTGAGAGGCTCATATGTAATGTCCTGAGACGGTCATATATTCAGAAACTGAAATATGGAATTTCATTCATGCCTATCCTATGTTATCCCTTTTTCAAGGTCACTAATGTTGTTGCATACAGTTTAACTACAACACATCTTAGAGGCATCTTTTACCTCCAGACGTCTCTCTTGGGATTGTTCAACTCAAGGAGATGGCTAAACTTCAAGTTTTTGTCATGGTACAAAATGCATGTACACTATACATGTATCATTTGCACATCTCCCACAATACACCATGTTTGACCCCCCCAAACTTTGACTATCATCGTTACCAATTGTCTTCTCATAAGATGACTGTAATACCCAGGAGAAATGAAAAAAAAAGTTATGGAAAATTTTAGGGGGCAAACAAGGTGTTTTGTGGGACTGTGTAAATGTTGAATGAAGGGCTTGAAACCTTCAGAGAATAGCTTCCATGTTGTAACAAATTTTATTTTCTTCTGTCCTCTAAATCAAAATTAGACTTAAAGATACCCACGTAGCCATGATATCCACATATATACTTTTTTCACTCTTAAATACAATTTTCTACAGTAATGTAAACAAAAATAGGTGTGACAAATTAAGACTTTATTTTTATTCTTAGTGAATCTTCCTTTGCTCTTGTGACCTTTTTTAGTACATGTTGTTGTGTTTTGCATATATGCATAATTCACTCTTCTTGTACTTCCTGACAGTCAACAAAAATACATGCCCTGGTGATAAAAGTGCCCTGCGTCCAGGTGGACTGCGTATTGGAGCCCCTGCACTAACCACACGCATGCTAAAGGAGAAGGATTTTGAGCAAGTTGCAGACTTCATTGACCGTGGAATCAAACTAGGTTTGGAAGTACAGAAAATCAGTGGCTCAGATCAGAAGAAATTTGAAGAAGTGTTGCTTGGAGACCAGTTCAAAGGAAAGGTAGAGGAATTGAAAAAGGAGGTTGAAGAGTTTTCTGTCAAATTTCCCATGCCAGGGTGTGGTCTTATTTAAATAACTGAAGAAACGTTATGTTTCTTTTTGTGCCTAATGACATACTTGAGATGGATATTTTGATACGCTAGAAAGACAGGGATGATGATGTGAAAGTTCCATGCCGTTATTTTATTAGGAGCATTCTGCTGACCCTGCTTAAGGATTTCGTTGTCAAGAGCTTAGAAAAAATTGTACAACCTAGAATGAAAAGTGCAAACAAAAGGCAGTGATTTCCTTAAGTTATGACTTCTTCAAGAGTGTAACTAACTTGTATCTTGTTAGATACGGTAGAATATAGTCAAGAACAAATTAGAAATATAAGTCGATTTAGATTAAGCGAACCAAGTCACACAATAACATGAAGTTGTTTCTGCATTATGAACCAATAAATGTACCCAGTTGTTGGGTATAATCAAGATCGGTGCATTGATTGTCTGATTTTATTGATGCTATGTCCAGAGTTGAGCAAGAAAAGAACCCATTCAACTGCACTCGTGACGATTCCTGCTATTCATTGGCACGCACACCAGGACTTGTAATAACCAATCACATTCAAGTGCGACTGTTCTATTACCTCACCCGTGATGATGCATACCATCCAATTACACTCTAATCAGGAATGGAAATAACCAATGACATTCAAGTGTAAACTGTTCTATTAACACCGGCGCCCATGATGATACATACTCTCCAATGACACTCGAATCACGGCTGGTAATAACAAACTAAACTCGAAGCTTGGTAACATTGTTATAGAAACTGAAAATAGTTTACTTCTACATTTCAGACGTCTCACCGGAAAGATAGCTATTTGGCGGATTTCTTTTTTTCCAACAAATGGGAAATTGGGCAACAGTCAACGTCCGGTTGCCACCCTTGCCTTTACTTGCTGTACGTGCAAGTTCTAGTTTGAGGGGCCCGGTGGTTCAAAAGGTGAATAACGCTATTCATCCTCTGGATAATTGGATTCTCTAATACTTAACCGCTGGATAGTGATTTATCCGTTGGATAGTGCTATCCGACGTTAGAATAACGTGAGGCAAGTGGTCAACCCTTCACGGCTTGATAAACATCTACAATACTGGTCACAAGTCTTGAAACACTTGGGTGATTTTCCCCTTCCCCAATGTTGTTGTATTACACTGAGTCGTCTCAGTGCTCCTAAATACGCGTAGCTCAACATTGGGAAAGGAGAGGGCACGTTTGAGTGAGAAGAAGGGTGAGAAGAGAGAATGTCAGACATTTTAGAAAAAATTCAAGGAAAATGGTTTCTGTTTCAACGATTTGTGACGATTATTGTTGCTTCCTTGGGGGAAATGAGCGTAAAGAAAAGTTTTTCTCCGCCTCATCTCCACCCCTTTTTAAAGCTGCTCTGCCGTGTCCCCCGAAACCACTAAGCACCTAATTTCTCCTATCAATGCCACTTCATATTTAAACATTTAGGTCACGATAATCCAGTGAAGAAATAAGGATGACGATGTTCTCAATATTACTAAAAAATGAGCTGTAAAGAGAGCAGTTGCATTGGGTGGGATTAAACCACAGGAACTAGAACAACGTAACTCTACCATCCACTTCAAAACCGTGACAACCTTGTCCACCAATGCTTCTCTGGAAGTATTTTATGAAATGAATTTTGTTTCTGTATCAGCTGCACTTGGATTAGGAATGTTAAAAGAGATCCATATTATGAGACGTTTTTGCAACGTTCACAGTTATCTTGAGATTGAAGGAAATTTTCTATTTCGGTAAGACCCCCAAAAATAACTTCAAGAAGTACTGAGTGAATAGTAAAACGGATTTGTTCAGAATGGAGGGCGTAACTGGAACTGTTAACTTTCTCGTTCCTCGCCCCCTCGCAGGTTTTTGCAACCAATTCAAGCATGACAAGTTCCGATTCAATGGCGTAACCAAAACGTGAACGAACTGACGTACTGTAAGTACTGAACGGTACTTGCTGAACTCTCAGTCGGATTTACAAGTCCGGTTTCAACTTACAAAACTTTCAGGATTTCATGTTTTACAGCTAACTTGACTGAGTTTTAGAAAAGTTTAAATCTAGATTTCTCACGCCTCACAGTGCTTTTCTAAGGAAACCCAAGGTGTAATTTATGGTGAAACGGTTCAGCAATATACTTAATTGAACACTGAATGGTTGTGACATATCCATTGGGCGGCTATACCGTAACGGAATATTCTCGAGTATCTGATCACGTACTGATTGAAGCCAGACCGTGGGAGCAACTGTGACCCCTCAGCTAATTAATGGACTAAGACACCGTTTTGTTATGTGGTACTAACTCTTCAATCTGCAGATTAAATCCTACACGGTCCTTCAAGACAACAGAACTATACTTTACGAAAAGTGCTTTTAACGTTTTGTCGGGAAACTCATTCGTGACCATTCGTGATTAAAATCAGCTGAGCTGTGTTTTTTTTCCTGTGACACAGTTTCATGACTTTGCTCTCTAAAAGAAGGTTGTGTAATTTTCCAAATTACGGTCCAAATCCTCCAGCATTTTCTGAAGTGTGTGGCCTATTCAGAAGAAAAAAGGTTCTACTGAGAGCTGACTTTAATGACGTTATTTTTATTTTTTACACGTCGGAAACGTATTAAGGCTATTCAAATAAAAAGCCTTTTTGAGAGCAGTAATCTACTGCCCTGAACTTGGTGGCTCCAACTCAAAGGGACCGTGAAATTCATACAAACAACTGCTCAAGCAGTCCACCCTTCAAATTCAACGAGCCATCGACACCGGTTGTGTCTTTATGTTCAAACAGGACAATAGAGGGGTTTTTACATGACACTCAAACATATTACTTGATTGCTTACTTTCTGAATCAGTCTCCCGCATCTTTCATTGCCGCCTTTTGTAACTCGCGTAATTATGTTTTTCAATGAAAAAGCAGTTTTAGCCAATCTATAACTGAATTACAAATATGACCCGAATTTCTCTCCTGCCAAAATACAAAAGAAATCTCAATTCCATAAGATCTGGACCCTTTGTTCTACAAATAGTATTTTTTTGTTGGCTTTTCATTATAAAAGGTTTGTGGTGGCCGACAAAGCCATGAATGTACAGGCCAAAACCGCCATCCTGCTGGGAAGAACGTGGAATGATGGTTCATAAATATTCCTAAACCTGTAAAACTAATTGATTATTGAAGAATAAAGGAAGTCTTTAGACTTGCCATTGTTTTAGTGATTCCTCTTGTACAATTGAATCGGCCTCTCTCTTGGTATACATTTATGTTCTTTAACGCTATTTCTGTCTAACAACTGTTGCCATGATTTTTTGTTTTATACTATGTCCGGCACTGTTTTTAGGTTTATTTTTATTGGTAAGATGCAAACAAATAGCGTCTATAAACCAGCTGATGTCTGATTATGCGGCCAATAATATGCCAGTAAAAACTGGATCGTCAGGAAGGTTAGGTCACATGTGGGGCGCGCGTCCGTCGTATACATACGGAAAAAGAGCGACATGACTTCATTGAGCGTCATTTCACACGTGACTGCTTGTCAGTGCCTCGGCACTGAACGCTTTCTAAACTACTTACCGCCAGCATTCCAGACAGCCTAGCTACGTTTTAAGGAATTTACAATGACGCAAATGGGCGATTAAGCCCACCAGTTAGAACTGACTAATGACGGTTGGATCAAAAATGAATTACCGGCAATAGGTATGTCTAAAACAACTGCAACAACACAGTTTTCATTTTGCCAGCGTGTGAAAAGCAAGTCAAATCAAGTCATGGCTCTTAAGCTCCTAAACCAAATGCTTAAATTGTGGTAATACAGCTTCTATTTAACGAGTTTACCACACAATAAAGTTTTAGTTAAATGTAATACGAGTTATATTTCTTATTTGGTGGCGCTTTTATTATGTAAAATAGCAAAATCTGGCAATACCTAATCCATGAACTATCTTCCAGGGGATATGATGATTTGACGTTCTCGTTACGCTAAGTAGAAGTTTACGAAATACAAATTTTACACAATTGAAATAAGAAGAAAATAAACGATATCTTAAGTGATGGTCAGGAGCGACTTCTTTAGTCCAATAACTGAAAAAGAAGTTCTGTCTGCTTACTTAAACTAATCCACTTTTTCACCGTACAAATCAATATTACTGAAATGAACTCACTGGTTCTACTCGGAAGAAAATGTTTAAAGCACAACTTTGTCAGTTCGCTGTTTTAATTTAGAATGACTATGAACAGTTGCTTAAAATACATACGCCGTCTTGGTTCCGCTGTTTCAATTCATCAAATATTCAAAGAAGCTTATCTTTATATTACATTTAATTGCTTCCCAAATATACAGTTTTGCGTAGTTCCTTGTGAACAATACAGGTGACCGACGCGGCTATCAGTTTATTGAACTCAGACGTCAATTAAAAATACCCTTAAAAGATAATATACACTTAATGTCAGGTCCCAAGGGAAACAGTTAGTTTTGTTTTCCCGAGAGTCCTGATGTTTCCCGAGACGAAGTCGAGGGAAACATCAGGACTCGAGGGAAAACAAAACTAACTGGTTTCCCGAGGGACCTGACATTAAGTATTTTGTTATATTTCTAGACTTTCACTTCAACAGCAACAAAAGAATAACCGGAGCGAACCAAAACAGTCGACTCGGTACTTATAACAACACAAATTTAATTCTCAAAACCACTGAATGAATGATTTACAAACAAAAGTACTTTCCTTATATTATCTGCATCTTTTTCCTCCACTAGCTGCTGTTTTTCTTCTGGGAACTTCTGGGATAACTTTAAAAATCGTTGCTTTTTAGCTTGAGGCTTCGTGATTGTGTTGTTGTGTGCATTCACGAAAAAGAAAACTGGCAGGACCTGGCGGTGTTTTTGCCGCCTTTTGTCACGCCACTTTCCACCATGCTTTGATCACGTGCCGCAATGTATCCCGAGCGGGATACATTGTTTGATGTATCACGATCGGGATACATTTGTTTTTAGTCAAGGCCACGTGACCAAGAATCAACCAATGGCAGTCCCTGTTTAGTTGAGTGAAAGTCTAGGAATATAACAAAAAGGTTTGTGCTACTTAAGATGAAATGTATTTTATAGCAGTGTTATTCATCAAAAAGCGTAATTCAACAATTTTTTTGCGTATTCTGCGGTGGGCCTCTCTTTCAATTCTTTCTAAGAGTTTGCAGCCACTGTGGAGTGCTATCTCACAAGTTTTTATCGTAATATTATGGTGAGTAATAAAAAAAAGGTTTTTTTCCGAGATAAACTAGAGTCACAGGTATTTATAGAAACGCTCCTGGTGTGCAGTCGCTCCAATCAGCTTTATAGCTGAGTGAATGAAGAACACTTAAAAGTGTTCTTCTTGAAAAAAAATAAACTTCGTGAACTCGGCCTTAAAAGTAGACCTACTAACCTAGAGAGCATGTTGTAAAATAGCGACTTCGCAATGTGGATGCTGAAATGAACGACCGAACCGGCCGAATTGCTTTTTACTCTCCGGAACGTTTGCATTAATAACTCGAGCCGGCTTGGAAGCATGGAGAAAGGAGTTTTAAAGTTTTCCGGCAATTTCACTTTAAAGTATGTTCGATAAAATGATTTTCCCACAAGATACTGTTTGTTACGTACTTCGAATTCATAGCAATTATCTCGGCCAGCATCAAGTAGAGGCCTTGATTAATTAAGGATTGGTAAAGGAGGATTAGGAAAAGGACGAGTAAAAGTTTGAAGCAGTTGTTTCGAAGTGTACCTTTTTGACTTCGTTTGTACTGAGTGTTTAATAATCTGATGTTGTAAAACTATAATGTTCAAAGGCTTACAAATCTTTTAATCGTATAAAACAATTAGGACGAAAGTAAAATAGTGACTTTCCTTAGTGGCAGTGATTGGCTCTTTTAGTAATTATCAGTTGAAACTTAATTTCAAACCGCTTCATAAGCCGTATTTGTAACATAGTATTGGACATAGTATTTGATTAAACACCCGGCACGTCGCGGAGCGTTATTCAAACACAAGCAATCATTTCGATTCCTGGTAGCTAGTCTTATAAGCAATAAAACTAACGTTAGTTAACTGATCATCCTAGTTCCCTTTAATAATCCATTTCAAATCAGAACCATTAGTCTTTCAAGCCGCGAGCTTAGGATAGATCGAGTGTTAAAAAGGTGAGGCTACCAAAATGATAACAAACATAAGCTGGGACAATCAATATGTTATTTTATTGCTGAATTATTGCTCTGTGAAAAATAAAAATATTTCAGATGGATGTTTGAGACTTGGGCGTGTCTGTAGTTTGAATGGCATTTCCGGCTATATAAACTCCAACCTGTAGTTTGAATTGTGTTCTCGGATGACTGAACTTCAAGCTGCCGTGGAAAGTTTGCAACAACGGCCTTAACGCATGCGTGGGCAAATATTTATATCGCGCTTTGGGCGACTTGTCGATCAAACGATATTTACACAAGTGAGATCAAATTTCAGCAAGTTTGAGATTACATTTCAGAGGAAATGGCCTTCAATGTAGGTCAGAAGTGTGGACATCTCGTAGCCGTTGCCTTCGTTCTGCTGTTTGTAACTTCGACAGCTGTGTCATGTCCACAAGGCTGTGAATGCTTTCAAGACAGAGATGGTTTAAATATAGTGGACTGTTATTATCAAAGCAGCTTGACGAGTATTCCGGCCGGTCTACCTGCTGATACAGACATACTGTGAGTTAGTTTACTATTTGGTTTATTTGTTCTTTGGGGTTTTGAAAACCGTCTTGTTATCAGCTCATAAAATTTTGGCACCTATCACTGAGGATTTGTTATTTCTCAACATTATGGCGAGGAGCGGAGATAGCGAGAGTTTGTCAAATCCCGCAAAGCTATAAATACAATTACCAACCAAAGCTTAGTCAATTTCGAAGCTCTTCACAGCGCTGACTTGTCAAAAGCGATAAAAGTGACATTTAGGTTTCGGTTGAAGACTAGGGCAGTGAATGTCTTAACAGTTGAAAGTGAAAATTTTGTCAACTGACTAAGGAGACGTTCTTTGCGTTCAAGCTGTGTTCAAATAATTTTCTTGACACTTGTCGGGCATGCTTACATGTGACTTGCAATGGACTGAAAAGAATTCCGAAAGTAAGCAAAGCATATTCAGTATTCATTTCTCTTGGCAAACATATATCCGTCTTGACAGATTATTAATCTTTTGTCAGAAACCGATTTTCCGAGTTTTTCGCGAGAGGTAATTAAAATTAACAAGGGCGACATTCATCACTAAACCGGTTCCTTACGAGATCCTTAGAGAGACTTGAAAGCCGAAAGTATGATGAATGAGATCGATGCCTTAAAAAAATTTGAAGTTATCTTAGTTTCCGCTTATTTTTATATGCTTAATATTTGTTGAATGTTGTGAAACGCCAACAAAGTACAAAATACTAAACAGGTTTTTTTGAAATTCATGAATGTAATAGTTAAGATTTTTAAGGAGTCAAGAGTACGTATTGGTCTTCTATTGAATTTTAACCATATAAAGCTCTTTAAAAAAGAACCTCCATAATAAACGTGGAGTTTTTAAGACACTAACTATATTTTTTTCAACTTTTTAGTATGCTGCCCAACACAGGACTCTCGAATATTCCTCAAAATGCCTTCCAGGGATTGTCTAATCTGAAAGAAATGTGAGTAATCTGAATGTAAATTTTCTTGTATTGTTGTGCAACACCTTTTGCTTGATTACCTGTGCATATTATTATGGAAACCACTTATTTGAACGAGAACAAAATAGCTTCCTCGGCCAAGAGAAATGAAACACACAACTGTACAAAGTTTTTACAAAACCAAGAAAAACATAATTGTATTACGCCGGAAATCGGCATTTTGGGATGGATAATCCGCAAAGCCAGCAGCAGATATAAAGGACGGCATTTATGGATTGCATTTTTTGTTAACATCCTAGGGCTAGAATAATGGGCGCATTTTATGTTATTTTCGACCTATTCTGCCAATGTTATATTTCATTGTAGTGAATAGACGAAGCAAAGAGTCCAAATGAATTGTTGTTTCCGGTTTTGTATAGATTTTCTTCCGTAAAATGAAGCTTGAAGCATTGAAGCTCAGTTTTATCCGCTTGAAGTCACTAGTTATTCCAGCAAAAACGAGGCCCTTAACTTAACTTAAAAAGGTTGTTAAAGAGTCTCAGCACACAGACCTGGAAATCTTTATTTGAGGTAAAAGGCAGTGTATTGCGTGAATCTTCCAAGTACTCTTTACATTTAATTTCTGCTTATCTGTTTTCTGAGGTCTGTGGGATGTTAACAGGGAAGCCAATACAAGTGCAATGAAATTGCTTCTTGGCAGACGGCCCTATTAATAAAATTCAAAACAAATCTCACTTTTATTTGGTTCAGTCCACCAAATGCGATCGATCTGCAAAAAAACTCTAGTCAAGACTTAAATAACAGTGAAACGCCTTACATCGAAGAAACGAGGTGGCAGCTTTTGTCTTCGCAATTTTATACTGTACCATTAACTTCTTTATCATGTTTGAGCAACTCTATAAGTCAACAAAGACTGTTACGTCTATCTCTAAAATCCAATCTTCCAGCTGATAACTAGTTTAGTGAAAACACTTCGTTTGTTTGACATATAGCCAAAGCTGTGTACCATCATATTATTGTATTTTCCTCCTTGTGGAATGCCATTAAAACTAAAACCGTAAACAAATGGTAAGTGCACCCGTAGCTTGACTAGCTTTTAGCACTTCATTCAGCGCAATTTTCGGACAATCTGTCGGCGTTTATGAAGTTTCGCGAACATTTATTTGTTCTCTGCGCTTCTTAATTAAAAATATGCCATAAGGATTAGAACTCCATTAAGCCGGCATGCCTTAAGGCTGGGACGGAGTCAGTTGAATACTTGGAAGAGAGTGAAAGTTAAACAATATTTGTAAAGCGAAATAAACTGTCAGATTTCTTCCATGAAAACCTGTATCGGTGAAAATGTGTGTAAACATGGGATAAAAGCGCCTCATGTCAGATAAAACATCTTTATTATGCCAAGAAAAAAGGTTGCTTGGACAGGTCAAACTTGAACAATAAACTATTAAACTCAGGAATGTACACGCTAAAAAGTGAAGCGATATTAAAACAGAGGCTTCAGGGGGGTTCGATTTTAGAATTCTTTGTGCACTTCATATCTCTTTTCAGAGTCGTACACATCTATGTTTATCAGTACATTCTAGCAAGACGAGCTCTTAATCAAGCGAGCAAATATCTTTACCATATATACGCATTTACCACTTAAGGACGGAAATTGGCTGTCTTGTAGATATGCAAATGAACAAGTTTGGTTTAGAAAACCTTCCACAAGAATGTCAGCCAACAGATTATGGTCATTAATGTCTTTTATATTGGTCTATCTACAAATCGAATGTAAAAAATCAACACGACAATTACCCAGTACCATTGCATATAACTCTCCTCAATATCAAGATCAATCTTTATCAATCTTTTCTTTTGCTCTGTATTATACGTTACAAACGAAAATTGAAGCCATTTCCAGGATTCTAGAAAGATAGAATTCTCATTGGTGCATATATGATTACACGATACACTCGATATTGATTGGTGTGTATTAATTTCAGGTTAAAACTTAATCGCAAAGGATATTAGACCTTGTAGAAAGCAAATTTTAAAAAACTGAACAGACATTTCCAGGGTAGCTTGTCTCTCTTCTTTTAATATTTGTCCCAGTTTGTCCAAGTTTGTACATACTTAAAAAAAAAAACATTTTTAATGAACTTTATCGGAACTCTAAAAATACGATGTTTCCTGACAACTAAACTGCAACATTTGACAAAGTCGTAGCCATCTAATGGATTGAAAATAAAACATATTAATTTCCCACTCCTTCTTAATCAGAGAAAATGCTATTCGAAAGACTTTTTGAAAGGCTCCTTCTCAAAGCGCTTTGATTTGGAGGCAAGCTAAATCTTTGGCACTGAAGTTCTTTAGACTAATGGTCATCGAGATCTGCTACAATAAAAAGCAGTTTTGAATACTTTACCGAAAGCTGGGAACGTTAAATGACCACACAACTCGCGATGATCGTTTTCACAATGTCTGATGACTATGTAGAGAACAAAACATGTAATTAAGATGTGTGGAATTTTTGGGATATCAAACTTTGCTCGTATTGAAAATGCGAGGTCTGCCTAATGCATTTACTTAAGTTTCTAGCTGTAACGAACTCACAGTTTTCGATAAAGATTATGAAAACTTCATGTCAAGCTGTATGACTATTATAAATACGATAACGTAATTTTGCTCGACAATTAGAGAAAATGAACGAAAGTAGCTAAGAGGGCATGAAACCGCATTTCATGCCCTAATTTGGAATGAAAGGAATCGAAGAGTTTCGGCTGAACTGAGAAAGGGTTTTTTGTGTGAAAATTTCAACACATTCAACCGAAACAAATGTACAGAGCTTTGTGCTTCATTAGAAATTTTGTTGTGTTTCGCATATGGTGTCTGAAGAGACGAATTAAGGTTTGAAGTTTTCTTACATTAAAGCAATCAGTAAACGTCTTCAAACTTTTTTACGTGATAGAGGATCCGAATCTATATTCGCTTCAGTGTTGTCCATCCTAAAAGTTCATTAACTGTGGAGCAAATAGACTATTAAAAAGCAGCGAAAAATTTGAAAGCGTTTTGAAAACTTTAAAATAATCCAGTTTGAGGTTATGTTCATGATGACACCGTAGCAGGCACAGTTGGTTGGTGCACTACATTCTGTGCGGGAAGTCCCGAGTTCTATTAATCCCCAGATGGTAACCTCGAATCCTTGTTTCGTCTGCTTCTTTCCTTTCCATGTAACTTTAAGTGGCTTAAGATACCCGTAAAACGGTGCACTGGTGGAGAGAGTGAGAGGGGTAAAAAGTGCGCAATGTTCAAGCCTTAGGTTTGTCAGTCAAACGACTGACTGTTCTGTTACGAGTTTAATACCGACTTAGAAACTGTGACAGGCCCCATCTGTTTTGCGTTTAAAAGTTACGCGTAGGAGACGGTTGTTTTCTTCGAATAGATCTGTTAATTTACCAGCTTTATAGTGCTAAATATGTTCTATGGATTGTATACAGAATGAAACTCGAAGGAACCTTTTTCGAGAGCCACCTTCGGCCGTTGAGCTGAAAGGGATGTTTGCAGGGTTAACCGTGATGCCGTGTTTTAAATTTCTATCTACAGAAGCATAATATCAAATCCTTTAACAAGCATAGCTGGGAATGCGTTCCAGGGCGTCACAAAACTCAACAAACTGTAAGTAGTTGTATTCATCTAACTTCAGTTTCTCATGCACCAAAGTTTTAGTTTGTTAAACGCCTTAAACCTATAACCACATTCTTTTGTAGAATTTTGTCTCGGAACAATTTAAGTCAAGTTACTGCAGACTCTTTCAAAGGATTAACAGCAGTAACAAAAATGTAAGTAATCTTCGATTCCCTGTCCATAACAGTAAAGTTTTTGCCTCAGTGGTGATATCTATTTTAACTTTGTGTTAACATATAGTGACTCATGATCAATCAAAAGGGAAGTTTGTCTTCTTTGTACAGCTTTTAGGGTGAAGCATGCATATATGCCTTTTGTTTCACCGACCAAGTTAGCTTTAATGCAACTTTTTTGCATTTTACGTTCTTTCAACGCTGCGCCACATTGAAGTCAACAGTTTTTATTCATGATTTTTTACACACTAAAAATAAAGCTTCTCCTTGTAGTGTTTGTCTGGGCCAACCGCTTAGGTCCGCTGAGGCTGACCATGGGCGGACACCAATTTGAGGAACTGCACTGATGTCTGTTTATTAAAAGAAAAATCGCGCCTAACTTCATTGTGCGAAATAGGTTAAAACCACGCTGCCGGGAGGGTTCACGTTATCGAACTAAAAATTCTGGTCATGGCCTTTTATTTATAGCTTTTTTGAAATCAGTGTAATCTATCTTAACCTTAACAGTGACAGCGCGATGCGCCGTTACTAAACGTTCAGAGCCAATTTAAGGTATTTTTTTTTCCTGTTTGATTTAGGTATTTAGAGTACAACGAATTTGCCATGCTCCCAGATGGATTGTTTGAAGACACTTTGTCCCTTCAATACCTGTAAGTCCAACCACAAAGACCTAACAACCGCAATAAAAAATATGTCAACGAAAACATCGAGGAAAATTGTCAAAAAGAAATTAGAAATTTTACGTATCATTGTATCTATACCACTTCTTTACTCTCTGATTCAAGTATGGAGGTATAAAATTTGTGACAATGAAATAAAGGCTACAAAGCAATGCCCTTAGTTGCTTCATATTGTTTAGAATAAGGTTCCTTAATCATCGTTTTTCTTCCTATTTGTAGAACAATTGATAACAACAAGCTTACTGCAATATCTGCCAATCTCTTCAGCAAACTTAGCAATTTGGTGCTACTGTAAGTACTTCTGTATTGGAGTGGAAATGATTAAATGAGTAATTTAATTTTTTTATTTTTGTTGACTGCTATAGATAGTGATTTATTAGCTAATAAGTACGGCTTAGTAAAAGATGAACATAACGAACGCTTTTTACTAACAAATCGAATTATGTCTTCATTTAGGTCTTTATCGAACAACAAGGTATCAAGCGTCAGCCGCGAGTCTTTCTCTTCTATGAAGTCAAATCTTACACACTTGTAAGTATCAGGTCAATTCTGTTTTTGGCATTGGTTTTTTTTTACTCAAATTAGAGTACGACGAGTTGAATTTTCCCTTGAAACTGTTTTTATTTTTCAGGAATCTAGACAACAATCATTTAAACAAATTTCCAGTAGAATCGCTTGAGAATTTAACCGCCTTGTCTGAGCTGTAAGTAAAGTTTTAAAGCTGGGGCTTTTCTTGTATCATTTTATCCCTCAATAAAGACAATTCTAGTTGTCTAGTTGTCTATTTCTTAAAAAGAGTATCATTTGCCAGCATTAAATAAATCACTGCTTAATCCACAAGTTATGGTCGCGAGAATAAGGAAAACATAATCACCGCAGTCAACAGTGTCTCATTCTAAATTTATGAATTTTAATTTAAGAGCCATCGCTATTAAAAATCAGTTTCAGTTCTGGACAGTGCTTCAGGCACCTGGAGCAAATTCAACAAATTTGCCGACAAAGTTTTAAAGTAGTTTATGTAGCACTAACTCTTTGTGTCATTCGGCATGGCATCTTAAGCTTTCTATTATATCGAAGTCTCCACACTAAGGGGGAAAGAATTTTAAAATAACTCTTGTTATCAGTCTGTATTTCTGTGTACCTGATTCCTCTTACACGCGAGAGTTCTATGGCGCCCCTAATGAGCGGAAACGATAAAAAAAAGCTCATATTCTAACGCCAGAATTTTGTATAGACTTATAAAGATTGTTGAAGTAATTTTGTTAATTCAGGCAGCGTGAAGCCTTAAACGAAAGACATTGATATATATAAACGTCAGTTTTCTCCAGACGAACTATATCACATTTTTATTGGGAAATTGTTGTCGCCTTTTTTCCACAGCCGTTTGGCCTCCAATGCGTTCTATACCATTCCACAAGAAGCTGTAACAATATTTGACAAGATTGCTGCCAAAGATGGTGGTCACATGTGAGTATTGAAAATGAGAATACGGCATTTCTTAGCTTCCTGTAATTAAAGCTCATTAAGTAGCTCGATACAGTTTTTCAAGGCCAATACCTCCCAAGTTTGAGCATAAACTACGTCGCCATAAACAAAGTTTTGGAAAAATTGCCACCACAGTTGTATTAGATAAAGATGAAAATTTGTTATGATCAGGGTTGCAACGGCATCGGAGTTGTCATAGCAACGGAATGACGCTATTACCTATTTTACTTGCAGCAGTATATCTCGGCACTGGGAACTGTTCTTCCAAAATCGTTCACAGGAGCTTTTTCCACCAATAGCGGCCTCGATGTTCGTGAAGTTTAAGCGAAATCTGTAAGAGCGTTATCGAGATATTTTGGGATGAAGTTTCTATGGTTAGAAACACAGTAAAGAGTGGACAATATTGTTGTTTGGGCGTTATCTGTAGAAAATGAAGCGCTTTTTACATGCAATTTCACCTCATAGTAGTTTCAATCTTTTTGAAAACGTGTGTGAAAGATCATGGAGATAGCTCCAGCCGATTACTAGAAAGAAGGATTTGATTAGTATGTTTCGAGGCGCTTTTGTTAGCGGTTTTTGAACATTTTAGTCTACTTTAACAAATTAGCGAATAACTTTTAAACCGCTCGATAAATTTTTAAAAAAATTTAAGATTCGTGAGATTAACCTTCCTTTTATACGACCTTTTAGTTTCAAGATTATTGATATATTGTAAGGCAGTAAAATAAGGGCTACAATTCGCCAATATTTTGGCTGAAATTTTGTGTTTACAAGTGTGAGCCTCTCATTATTCAGGGTATTGTCTCCAAGTTTCATATTTTCGCGCATAACAATAGCTAGCATTTTTGCATATGTCAAATGCATTGTTAGTTCCTGTTGTTCACGTGAAAATGAAACTTGGAGACAATGCCTTGAATAATGAGAGGCTTTCACTTGTAATAACGACACTTCTGATAAAAAAGTAACGAATTGTAGCCCTTATTTTACTGCCTTACAATGTATCAATAATCTTGAAACTGAAAGGTCATATAAAAGAAAGGTTAATCTCAAGGATCTTAAATTTTAAAAAAAATCTATCGACCGGTTTAAAAATTATTCGCTAATTTGTTAAAGAAGACCAAAATGTTTACAAAAACGCTAACAAGAGCGCTTCGATACATACTAATAAAACCCTTCTTTCTAGTAATCGGCTGGAGCTATCTCCATGATCTTTCACACAAGTTTTTAAAAAGATTGAAACTACTATGAGGTGAAATTGCATGTAAAAAGCGCTTCATTTTCTACAGATAACGCCCAAACAACAATATTGTCCATTTTTTACTGTGTTTCTAACCATAAAAACTTCATCCCAAAATATCTCGATAACGCTCTTACAGATTTCGCTTAAACTTCACGAACATCGAGGCCGCTATTGGTGGAAAAAGCTCCTGTGAACGATTTTGGAAGAACAGTTCCCAGTGCCGAGATATACTGCTGCAAGTAAAATAGGTAATAGCGTCATTCCGTTGCTATGACAACTCCGATGTCGTTGCAACCCTGATCATAACTAATTTTTATCTTTATCTAATACAACTGTGGTGGCAAATTTTCCAAAACTTTGTTTAAGGCGACGTAGTTTATGCTCAAACTTGGGAGGTATTGGCCTTGAAAAACTGTATCGAGCCACCTTAAGTAAACCGTCAATACAACTGTATTAAGCGTCAATGAAGGCACTCTGAAAAATGAATTTCAGAAGCACTCGTTTTGAAAAGGAACTCATTCTATAGAGTCGTTAAGTGGAAAAGTCTTCTAGCCACTTAGGTTGTAAAAATCAGTAACAGCAAGTCGTTAGAGGCCCATAGCTGTCGAATGCGCAAAAATTCCCCTCACTGAATTCAAACTAACCTTTTTTGTTCCCGTTTTTTTTTTTCAGTTGGATTGCCAACAACCCTTTGGTGTGTACTAAGGAACTTAAATGGCTCCAAACGTGGATGATGACCCATCCTACAGTTGTTAAAGATTTGAACGAAGTCACATGTCAAACACCTTACGGGAACCGTAGTAAAGTATTTGATTTCGACTTCAGTATTTTGGGTAAGCACTCTTGCACTTAAGAGTTTTCATTGATTTGCGTTAAAACGGAGTATAGCCAGTGTTTAACAAAGCTACGTTTCTCAGACAAAGCTCGATTTCCGTCGGTTTCCCGGGCCCAGTCTTGCCGAATGTTCCACCCACCTAGGCGAAGGAGCGCCCCGAGCAGCGGCTGGTAATAGAGCACAGTGGCAGGCGTGTCCATAGTAAATTCGCGTATGCGGTGCTTTCGTTTTCCACCGTTTTAGACTAGTAGTCTTCTCTTAACCAATCAAAAATGAAATGCAGGGTGATTTGGCCCTAATAAAGTATGCTACAGGGATAGCCATCTTTTAATACATCACAGCCGATCATGAGAAATATCCCTAGTTAAGTTCTGTTTTACTATCCAGAGTTGCAATCTCGAGGCATGTTCAGCACGGTTACTGAACATAACAGCACTAACGTCTTTTTAATGCTGAAAATTCACAGATGGCTGGACAATAGGAAACTTAAAGAGTTCTACGATGTCATCAACTGTAACATCAACTACGCTACCAACTTCCACAGCAGAAACAACACCACCGTCTACGTCATACACGACAACAGTGCCTACTACGTCAACCACGTCATCGTCTTCACCACCAAGTACCACAGATGCACCTACAACAACGACGTCAGGGCCTACGTCATCAAGTACAGAATCTACTACGTCATCATCTACATCACCAAATAGCACAGAAGCAACTACAGTTGCCACAACAGCATCTACGTCATCAACTGCAGAATCCACTGCGTCATCATCTGCACCAACAACAACCACAGAAACAACTACAGTTGCTACAACAGCATCTACGTCATCAGGGTCCGTCACGTCACCGTCTACATTATCAAATACTACAGAAACTCCGACTACCACGGCGGCGAAAACGGCATCCACCACGATATTGATGACATTCTCTACGCCATCAGGATCGGATACTAGTCTCTCAGCCACAGGGAAAAAATCGTCGACAGCGTCCAATTCAACGCCTGTTTCAAAAACTTCAAACACTAAAGGTCTTTCCAAGAGTTTTAGCCCTGGATCACATATTGGTACTTCAACAGAATCAGTTGAAAAAGGTAAAAAGGATTATTTAAGTGTAAAGAACTTTGTAATATCGGGTGCAAAATATCAACTCGTGGCCTATCATCAGATATTGGAATACAGAACAAAGGAATCTGAAAAGTTTGGAGTGGTTTACGAGTCAAATCAAACAACGTATGTCCTACGTATGAAAAAGGGAAAGATAGATTCAGGTGTCAATCGTGATGTGTTCTTGCATTAATTTAATTGGCGAGAGCAGAATTTCTTGTCGGTTTTTTACCATGATTTCTTTCTCTCTCTGGCTTTTTTACTGTTCTGATTAATACAAAATGGGAACTGAAAATATGGAACCACCCTTTTCACTTACTTTCAACTTGCAATTTAGCATTTTCCCTTATTTTTATTTTACAGAAAGAGCAGAATCTAACGAGAAGTTCTTCTCTAGAAATCAAGAAGTCATTCTCTCTGCTTCACTGGTTGGATTTTGTCTAATTGTTATCGTGGGTGTCATGCTTTATTTGTTCAAAAGAAGGGTACTGTTACGACAAAAAACGTAAGTCATTTCAGCTGATATTCTTCGGTAAGTGCCGATTCAGAACCCGACCATCGAATTCAAATTTAGGCCGGTTGCAGTTACTAGTCAGGCGCCGATCTTTCATTCCAAACGAAGTCAATTCAAAATGGAAAATCGCGCATTTTGGTAAGGTTACCGTACACAGTTAGTATAGAAATGTCATTAGCAACGATACTGACAACCAGGAAGCCGTACAAGTGCGTTATGCTGTGATGTTCACCAAAACGACAGGACAGAAGCGGCGACGGCAGGCAAAAGGAAAAATATCTGTCCTCGTCAAGCCTGCGTAGCTTGGCGGTTTTTGTCGGGAGCACTACTGAGCTGCGAAGCCGCAAAAACGCGCGCGAACGAGCGGCGAAGCCGCGTGAAAAATAAAATCCCAATCTCCTCGCGGTTTCTCTGCCCTCGCTCGCCCGTATTACTTAGCGCGCCCAACCAAAACCGCCATGCTACGAAGGCTAGTCCTCGTCTGTCTCTGCTATTTCAGTCATAATTCCCTCTTATAAATTGAGCAATCAGGCACAGGTCGGCACTAATGTATGAAACCGCTTTTAATTCCAAAACTCATTTGCAAAGAAACTGAGTTTTTTCACGGACAAACTTGGCCACGAAAGGTCACCTTGCACCTACCCAGTTCCCAGGGTTCTCTCTCTTCCTCCTTCGAGGGAGGAGGAGAGAAAATCCTGGGAACGAGGTTAACCTTACACATGCCTCACATTGTCCTTTTTCTCCTTTTCTTCTAGACTTAACATAAGACTGCCAGGAATGATGTACGATCGAGTTAATGTGTAGTTTTAAAAGGAAAAATTCGCTCTTCACCACCAAACCATCCTACAAGGCATGAATCAGCCTCGTTTGGAAGTCTGAATCATCTCATCAAGTCGTTTGTCACGTGTTTTGACGTCAGAAACAGGAGATAAAGAAAATTAATAAGTTTACATGTTGAAAGGACATTGGAGATCCTTAGTTATGCTATGTTCTCGGAGTTCCATAGTTATGCTAAGAACTTTTTACCCCAGAACCCTAGTTGAGAAAATTGAAATATTATTTATTGTACAGAAAGAAACATCGCAGTATAAGATTTGTTTTAGGAGCATCTCCTTTTGAAGGAGATGACAAACATTAATTCATTACATTTTTTAAATCACTGCCAAGTTTCCGAAGGAAACTCTAAAAGACGTTTCATAAAGCTCTATGGCTTCCTTCAGTGAACCATATTAGTTATCTGCGTGTTTCAGTTTTATTTATTTGGTGTTTAAACCAAGGTTTTGGAGACAATTAAATTGATATTTTCTGGAAAGTTTTGTACATTGATGTACTTAAACAAATGAATTAAAAAAACATAAAAAAGCTGCATTTTCTTTACGAATCGTATGTGTAATTCAAACACCATGTGTGGGCATCAACTTTAGAGGGGAAGGATAACGGTTACTGTCGAGAACTGTTCTTTAAAGAGCACTAAACCTTTTGCTAAATATTCGCGCTGTGTTAGTCCTGAACAACTGCATTCCCGGGTTCTGTCTACCGTTTTATTTCCTTTCTTTCCCTATGATACGTCTGTGCAAAAGCTACCCAGTCCATAATAATCAAACCAGAACAGGAAGTCTTTTTGTACGACCACGTTGGAAAAACCGAATCAACAAGTCAATAAAAATTATAGTTAAACCAAAACCAGAACGTTCTGACACAGCCCCTTTAAACTTGATTATAAGTCCGTTGTGTCCACGGTGACCCTGAACCCCAGATGCAAAATTGTTTGTTGTATCAACTGATGTGATGAAGTGATTTTACCACCTTAAAAGAAAATCCAAAAGCCGACCTTTCGAACGGTTTTTATTGTGGTAAATTCATTTTCTCGGCTCAGTTGATGAAATTAAACCTTTTTTTTTGTTTCAATCCAGCCTTATCGACGAATCAAAGACGGTCCGAAGACGCTCCCTCATACTTCCTCTGTCCGTCGGATTATCAGTCGCTGGATGCTTAGTTAGAACGCAATCCGACTGGCTAAATTTAAACAGTATTTAGCAGGCTCAGATTCTGCTACAACAAACGTCTACCGTAACCAGACATTTAGTCTGAAGACAGACTCCAAAACTTTGTATTACAGTATACTGAAATTAAAATCTAGTCCTTCTATTGGCGAATTTTTGTTTACATTTTCTGCCTCATTAACATATGCTCATCATTATCTAATGAAGCTAATAAAATAAAACCCCTGAATATTGAAAAAGCATAACAAGCTCAGTTATCTCTGAAAATTTGAGCCCGATATACCGAATGGTTTTGGAGAAATTCTCTTTCAAAAACTCGAAATTTTACAAATAATGTATGTCTCATTAACTTTTTTGCCACCCAGCAATTTCGCAGTTTTAGATGGCTGCTTTTTCCTTCAATATTGCTTTTAATAAGCTGAAAATTGCACAAATTGTTTAAGTTGATCAGCTTTTTCAACTTTTGAATTTAGTTCGTATATACGGCCACGGCTTTTTGAGTTAAGCCGTATGCTAAATGTAAACAATGACGTTAGCCTGCGTAGCAGGCGCTAGGAAATAAATGGACGCAAGAAAGAACGGGCGCGCGCGAGCGATACACACGGGGGGTGTATCCCTCGCGCGCGCCCGTTCTTTCTTTTGCGCCCATTTATTTCCTAGCGCCTGCTACGCAGGCTACAATGACGTCAACAAAGATTCGTCTACTGTATTTTAAAGCACAACAAAGGCTAAAACAAATATGCATCGTTAAACAACTGCCATAACAACTGCACAGAAATTACGCGAACGGGCCGGATAATTCTACAAATACACATGTTCAGATCGATCGATCGATCCCCCCCCGCGCAGACCCTGTGCGGTACATTAAAAAAATGAAGATTACCAATAAAAGAACAACCCATTATGCTATAAAAATACTCATTACAATATTTTGTTATGGTAAGGGTATAGAAGGAAAAATGTGTTTATACCACTCAACTCTCTTAGTCCAATGGCGATAGAGATACAAAGAATATGAAAAATACATAAATTTCTGTACAGAACGCTTAGAATTGCCTTACAAGCGTCCAAAGGATTGACTTGTCTAATCTTTGCCTTTCCCTGCGGTGGGATGCCCACAAAAGCCTGTAAAAAGCCGTGTGGATAACTGATGATATAAATGTATATGCAGTAAAACGCTGATAGCTCGAACTCGGATAACTCAAACTCCCCACTAACTCGAACTAAGTCCGATTTCCCTTGGATTTTACCCCACTTATCAGTCATTTTTACTCGGTAAAATCGAACTCGGATAACTCGAATTCCCCGCTAACTCAAACTAAATTTTCTGTCCCCTGATCAAAAATTCACTGAAATTTACCCCGATAACTCGAGTTCTGGTTCTTGTAACTCGACTCGGATGCCATCCCATTAGCTTGTTAAATAAGGGTAAAAACATTCAAACTAACACTTGTCAACTCTAGAGCAATTTGATTATAACCAGTGCAACGAACAGATCACGTTTTATCATAAAAATGCCTAATCATGTTAATTCGTTTGTTGAAATAACTTAAATTTGCATTGCACTACTCACTGAACACGTGGCAAATCGTCCCCGTTAACTCGAACCTCCGCTAACTCAAACTATTCTTTGTTTCCCATCAAATTTCGAGTTACCGGAGTTCTAGTGTAACGCAAAATATACAAAGCACAGCAAATTCACTTAATGGGTAATCATTTGTTTGTTTCTTATGCTCTATTTCAAGCGTTTATTCTTAATTTGGGATCTCACTCGCTGGAACGGTAATTTACCTGTTAATTGGGTATTCTTACCTTCTGAATAAAGTCAACTATTTCAACCACGTACCCTGAACTCAATAATACTTTGAGACTGAATAATTTTACCGGAATATGTTTGTTCTTAAAATCCCAAAAGTATTTTCTAAACACTTCTTTGTTTGAAGGCGTAACATTGCAAAATGTTCTGGTGATTAATGGACTCAGTTCTTTTAGAAAGGTAGCTGCCAAACTGGCTTAGAATAAACACGGTTCGCAAGTTCTATTTTTATTTACACGCTGATTTGTTCTGTTGCTTGCTGAAACGATGACTAAATAATAGCTATCTCAAATTCCTCGTTAAGATACTAGTAGCCTTACAGAATTAACTATTGTCGAGATACGCTGATTTATTTAAGTGCTCCTTTAGATATCAAAAATTTTACTGCGTCAGAATTACTGTTCTCTATTGCTCTAGCCAGAGGAGTTACACCGTAGACATCTTTTAAATGGACATCAAGACCAAGGGACAACAGCTCGTTGATAATGGATGTGTTTCCACCTTTTGCAGCAAAGTGGAGCAGACTGACACCACCATTGTTTTTCAAAGATGGATCAGCACCCTTTTGTATCAGAATCTGAAAAGCATTTTGGTTCTCATTACCAGCTGCAATCATCAGTGGAGTAACGCCACCATTATTCCTTAAATCAACGTCAAGACCACGTGATAACAGCTCGTTGATAATGGATGTATTTCCACCTTCTGCAGCCTTGTGGAGCAGACTGTACCCACAGTTGTCTTTCAAAGATGGATCAGCACCCTTTTGTATCAAAATCTGAAAAGCATTTTGGTTCTCAAAAACAGCTGCAGTCATCAGTGGAGTAACGCCATCATTATTCCTTAAATCAACGTCAAGACCACGTGATAACAACTCGTTGATAATGGATGTATTTCCACCTTCTGCAGCCTTGTGGAGCAGACTGTACCCACAGTTGTCTTTCAAAGATAAGTGAGCACCCTTTTGTATCAGAATCTGAAAAGCATTTTGGTTCTCATTACCAGCTGCAGCCATCAGTGGAGTAACGCCATCATTATTCCTTGAATCAATGTCAAGACCAAGTGATAACAGGTCGTTGATAATGGATGTATTTTTACCTTGTGCAGCAGAGTGGAGCAGACTGAATCCACCGTTGTTTTTCAAAGATGGATCAGCACCCTTTTGTATCAGAATCTGAAAAGCATTTTGTTTCTCAAAAATAGCTGCAATCATCAGTGGAGTATCGCCTTCATTATCCCTTGAATCAATGTCAAGACCAATTGATAACAGCTTGTTGATAATGGATGTATTTCCACCTTGTGCAGCACAGTGGAGCAGACTGTACCCACCGTTGCTTTTCAAAGATGGATCAGCACCGTTTTGTATCAGCATCTCAAAAGCGCTTTGTTTGCCATAATCAGCTGCAGTCATCAGTGGAGTAAAGCCATAATTACTTCTTGAATCAACGTCAAGACCAAGTGATAACAGCTCATTGATAATGGAAGTATTTCCACCTTCTGCAGCCTTGTGAAGCACACTGTACCCCCAGTTGTCTTTCAAAGATGGATCAGCACCCTTTTTTATCAACATCTGAAAAGCACCTTGTTGGCCATAACAAGCTGTCGACATCAATGGAGTGTTACCAATCAAGTCCCTTGAATCAATGTCAAATCCTTGAGACAGCAATAACTTAATGATCTCAATGCATCCAGTTTTTGAAGCAGCATGAAGCTCCTGACCATCCTTATCTTTATATTCAGCTTTAGAATCAAAGTCTTCTGAATCAGCTGGAACGGTCTCATTAAGAATGGACCAGACACTTTCCCCTGGAAGAAAAATCTCAAAAATGAATTTGAAACCCAGAAACAATTACAATAGATATTTCGAAAATGGCAGCAGGGTTTGAGAATGAGGAATAGAAAAATGAGAACAAAAACTGAAACATTTCTATGCTCAATGGATGTTTGAAAATTACAATAAAAGTGTTTGAAAATAATTCCGAGCGGAATGAGTTTATAATCTCGTCGTGCGCGAAGGGCACACGCAGTGCGTGGACCACACGTGGATCCTAGCGAGCCGCAAACTTCCAGCTCTTATTCTTGTATATATCTGATGGTGTCCGCCATGACGTCGTACAGTAGTTTGACGTCACTGTGCCTTTAGTTTTTAGGCAACATTTTGACTGAAAGCGGTTTCCCATCGATGATCAAAGTGCCTGGTTGTTTTGCGGTCGTTTTAGGAGTCGATAAGTGCTTTTTGCAATGAATTTCGAATGCAAAAGTACTTTTAAGAGCAAATGGAAGCGATTTTGGATAATCAGCCTTAAGATATGAGCGAAAATCGAGGTAACAAAACACCCGGGCATAACACGTTTTNACTGAAAGCGGTTTCCCATCGATGATCAAAGTGCCTGGTTGTTTTGCGGTCGTTTTAGGAGTCGATAAGTGCTTTTTGCAATGAATTTCGAATGCAAAAGTACTTTTAAGAGCAAATGGAAGCGATTTTGGATAATCAGCCTTAAGATATGAGCGAAAATCGAGGTAACAAAACACCCGGGCATAACACGTTTTGCTAGCAGACGAGTTTATACCGTAATTGGGCATTTGTTCTTTAAATTCGATGAAATGCGTTTACGTTAAGTTTTCACCAT